TACGATTAAAAAATCCGGTATATTTAAAGCAAAAAAAAGTACCATCTTGTACACTGAAAGAAATTTGTTGCTAAAAGTAAATACAAATTTATACTAAAAATTTTATACTAGTGCTTTACACATTTATACTACTGTTTATTATGAATGTATGGTAAATTTTGTAATACATTTATTGTAAAGAAGATATGTTAGATCTAAATAAAAATAAACTTACCCTTACTATAAAATGTAAACTATAAGTGAATTACAGCAAAAAAATATTGCTAGAAACACCATTTATATTGCTAGGGCAGCAATAGGCTGCTAACCAAACGAATATATTTGTTTTAGCAATGTATGTGGTAGTCTATATATGAAACATAAAATATATTTGCCCTAATTATTTTTTTATTTAACTTTAGTATATATTTCTTTCAGTGTATAGCAATTCTTTTGGGCGATCAAGTGAAGTAAGTGTAGATATTGAGTGGATCTTATGCCTGTGTAAGGAAGTGGACTGCCGATGATTGGCCATCTGATCACATCCCGGAACATTGGCGCCCCTCCGCATCCGCTTCCGTTTCCGATTGATGCATTGCGTTCTTCAAACTCGCCCGCCCGACATTTTCGGACCCGCTCACTTAATTTTCCCTCCAGGACACCTCCTTCATTCTCCTTTCAACGATTCCATTTCCCGAGTATTGGATTTTGCCAACGAAATAACTTCCACTAAGCTTGTTTAATATACAATGTTATTTTTTTACAATTTTCAAAATAATTATATAAAATCTTAGATATCTTCATTAGCTTTGGAAAAAAGTAATTTACTACACAGGGAGGTGTTACGTGTTAAAAATGGTGGGGTTTTAATATTAAACACAGCATGTAATGTAAAATAAAGTATATTTTATATTACTTACAAACTATTAGATATGAATACAAATAGGCTTTGGCATAAAATTAAAAAAAAAATGATTAACACTACTTAGGTGTAAGTATTCTTATACCCCAGAAGTGTTAATATTTTTTTAATTGAATGAAAAGTGGTAATATTTTTTTTCCAGTTTGTGCAAAACCATATTTAGCTTATATAGGTATACCTATTAGGGGTGTTAATCCCGGGATCCCGTAAAAAATCCGATACCGAAAATCCCGGGATTAAAAGTCCCAATCCCGGGATCTTAGTAATAAGTTACAAAGAATAAAATATACTTTTTTTTAAGCGTATGACATTTTTCATATTATAATACTCATAAGCATTAGGGTGGGTCAAAAAAATCGACTATTTTTATTTTGACTTCTGCCACTGAAAAATCGGTTTCTGGGCACCTTCAAAACATGCTTAGCGACGAAGATCCGCCTCATTACAGTTTTGCATATTTTTCTTAGTCCCCTACAAAAAAAATCATATCTCATCATTCGTTAATCATGAAAATTAAATGTTATACAAAAAAGATCTCCTATACTTTTTTGACCAATCTAACTATTAAAGAGATATTCAAGGTCAAAGATTGAAGAATTTTAAGAAAGATAACTTTTCTGTTCTGAATTTTGTAACTTACTGAAAAAAAATTATCGACAATTGAGATTTTACTATGTCTATCGGAAATTGAACGCTCTACAAAAAAGGTCTCTTAGGATTTATCGATTACTCTAACCAATCAAAAGATATTCGCATTGGAATATCAGTGCACACATCAATTGCAAAAAGAAAGTTTTTAATTAAAAAAAAAATATTGTTAGAAGCATTAATAAAAGAAAAAATTGTATCTTATTTTATCAAATTTTCCCTATTTAAACAGTACAAATACAAAAATGTATATTTTTCTTAAATTTAATTATCATAATTGACTTTTATTACAGTTAGGAAATTTTGCTCGATGTTCTTTGACAACTTGCAGTAAATATTGAAACTGCTCTTCGTTTTTTGTCAAACACTTATTGAACTCAGGCACCAACGCTACTCCACGCTCTGCTACGTCATTTACAACTTTCATTTGCTTGAAATATTCTTCGTTTTCTTTATAACTCTCATTTGAAGTCCACAATTCAATATCAACATCGAGAAAATCATATGGTAGGTCAAAAATTTTGAACAATTTCAATGATTTTTGAGAAACAAAGTCACTTAAATCCTTTTGAATAATTGAATTTATGTTCTTGTGGTCAACCTCAAATCTCTTAACTTTGGAATCTATACCATCTCGAATTTTTACAGCTTCAACGATTTTCTTCTTCATATCGATTGGTACAGTATCATCGAACAGAGATAAAATGACGAGTTCATCATTCAAATACCACAAATGTGAAGTCATCTTCTCACAAGTTGCTAAAGAAATTGAAGGTTGGGTTGTTTTGTTGAGTTTGGGTTGTTTTGGAGCCACCAGTGGCATTTAGCATCTCGTCGAATAACAAAACTACCAATATTTTAAATTAAATTTTGAGACAGAAAGTTTTTAATTTCAAATTTTGTAGAAAAATAAATATGAGTTACATATTAGATAAGTAACATATTGAATAAGTTACATATTAGATAAATCTGTTAAAATAAATAAACGAATCTAAACCGTGATAACAGTGAAAGTATAGAAAAAAATTATTGTTAAGCAATTTATTGAAAGCAATATATTCTCAAACGAAAGATAAGACATAATTTGGGAACTGACATTTCATCAAGATGAACTTAAATTTTATGAATTAACTCAAAATTTATAAATTACACAGATGAATTGGAAAAAATTATTAAAAAACTATGAATAGCAGTATGCACTGACATTCCAATGTGAATATCTTCTGATTGGTTAGAGTAATCGATAAATCCTAAGAGACCTTTTTTGTAGAGCGTTCAATTTCCGATAGACAAAGTAAAATCTCAATTGTCGATAATTTTTTTTCAGTAAGTTATAAAATTCAGAACAGAAAAGTTATCTTTCTTAAAATTCTTCAATCTTTGACCTTGAATATCTCTTTAATAGTTAGATTGATCAAAAAAATATAGGAGATCTTTTTTGTAGAACATTTAATTTTCTTATTTAATAACTTCTTTAGAGTTTTGCTGTATGATTAACGAGTTTTGCTGTATGATTAACGAATGATGAGATATGAATTTTTTTGTAGGGGACTAAGAAAAATATGCAAAACTGTAATGAGGCGGATCTTCCCATCAAAGTTAAGAGCTCATCGTTGCTAAGCATGTTTTGAAGGTGCCCAGAAACCGATTTTTCAGTGGCAGAAGTCAAAATAAAAATAGTCGATTTTTTTGACCCACCCTAATAAGCATATATATAAACACTTGATGAAAAAATGTCACAAACTTGATAATTTCAATGTAAGTTACAGCCCCAATTGGAACTCACCAAGGCCCGATTGATAAAATAAATGATATTATTTGTTAATGGGGGTAAACGTGGGTACAATGTGCCTACGAATTTTTGAAAACCATTCTTCCGACTAGTGTGAAGTCCGAAAGATATCGTTGGTTAGTTTGTTTGTTGTTTTATTTTAAATTGGTTTTAAAATTAATGATATATATTTTTTCGGGATTAACACCCCTAATACCTATATATATATAAGTTAAATATGATTTTTCACTAGCTCAAAAAACTTAAAATAATAATAAATTTCATATTTCACTTTAAAATAACAGGTTAAAAAACAGGTTTTATAACAAACAAAAGTTGTATCCACTGTCACATTGCACCACTTCACCAGACCACTGAATTTTAATTTAAAAACCATGGTCTTACATTAAAATACCATGCATATATGCCTATATACCTATAGGTACACTACCATCAACTTCACTCGGAATACTGATCGCGCCCTTGCCGTTAACGAATGATGACTACTTGACTTTTTTTACCACAATTTGTGTAGATGTCAACACATAATAGTGTCAAATGTAGACCGCGTCGAGTTTATTCCTAACAGTAGATTGACACGGTGCTATGTTAAATGAATTTAAATTAACACGAATGAATTTTACCACAATTTAAAATAAACACTTACAATTTTTGACCAAATGATTTTACCAATCCATTTGGTAACTTTACACCGAAATATTTTATATTGTGTATGCAAAACAAAAAACAAAGTAATCAATGATAATACACAAATGTAAATTTTTAATGAATGTAGATTATTGCCCACTGTGCAAGCATATTTTGCGTCAGTTGTCATAGGTCAGGAACAACCAGTGGCGGCCCAACATTTTTACTTTACTTATAAAAATTTTTTTTATAAAAAAAATGGCACTAATGCAAAAATGATAGAGGAAAAACTCTCTTATTTTGGCTTTTGATAAGAAATTATTTGAACGATACATTTCGGGAAACATGGATTGGTAGATTTGGGCCACAGCCTTATCCACCAAGAAGTTCTGATTTAATATTTATGGATATTTCCTTTTGGGGTAAACTAAAACAACAAGTTTAAAAAGACAAATTTAAGAATAATTTGGATAGTACATAATGTATATCCTTATAAGGATATATATATATATGCCCCAGTAGCAATTTTTAAAGATTTAAAAATATAAAATCATCAATTTTCTTAAAATTAAGACAAATTTTGATGGTTTGTTTGTTTTTTGTCAGATTTTATAAATGTAATAATTTTGTAAACATGAAAATATTTTTGTTCAGTTTTGTGTATTTTTTCTTTGTTGTAATGTTATCTGACTTTTAACAGGATTCACAAACTTCTCGTAACTGAATAATTTAGTAGTGTAGCTTTTTCTTTTTTTATTTTGTCTGGTGCATAATTATTAAGTTAGTTGAGTTGGGTTTTAGGGAGTTCAAATCTTTTTTAGAATCTTATTTAAATTAACGTACTCTTTAATAAGTTAAAATACCTCTTTGGGACTCTGTATTAAAGACTAAGTCACTTTTTATGAATATTTCAGTGAAATTTTTTATTATGTATATTCAGAATAATCCCGAGTTTTATGTGTTTTTACGGAATACCTTGACTGTAAAACAAAGAAGAAAGAAGGAGAAAAATAAATTGATAGGTATACTTACATTTTCAGCGTATATAATAGTCTCCCGATTTCTGATATCCCGTTTACGGTGTTGCCTATCCTGCCCCCAGGCGGCGTTTTCCGATGGTACACTGAACAAACTCATCAGAAATAATACTCCCCACACCATCTTTTCCATCTGAAATCAGAATAAACATTCTACAGTCTGCATACAAATAAAAAAATATGTTTTATATTTTCTGCACTATTATAAAAATCAGATTTGTTAACATGAGCTCGTAGTTTTTTAATTTTATTTTGTAAAATTTTAACATAATTTTTTGTAGAAAACCAGGGTTTTTAATTATTTTAACAAGGGAAAATAGTTTACAAAAATTTGTAAGCATTTTGTTAATTTTAAAGGTTACAGATTATTTTGTTAATGTTTAACAAATTATTTCGTTGATAAAGTACACGTGATTTAAGGCATTCAATCAAAACATTTCCCACTCACAATACGCATCAACAAGTTCAAGTGACTTCAGCGTCTACAACTTATGTTTCTGCTTACTTAAGTAAGAATTCTCGTTATATTATAAACACAATGAACAGTTGTTACGAACACGTTACGAATTGGAATAAATTTATTCTTATTCGTAACGTGTTCGTAACAACTGTTCATTGTGTTTATAATATATAACGAGAAATCTTTTATAATTGTTATTGGATTTCTTATACCTATTTAACGAGTGTGCGAAGTGGGTTAAAGTTACGAAATACATCAGTAAGTGTTGTAGTTACTACTGTAGTACTTAATTATAATATTGTACTAAATTTCTTTATAATTTGATGATTTCAGAATGGTGTGTTATTTAACTCTGTGTATGTTATTTTTGGTTTATTTATGTAGGTTTGTGTATATTTTTTGTTTATATAATTGATTAATAAAGTAACATTTCATATAAAAATTATTTTCATTTAAGTTCCAATTTCCAACAAATACTTTTGTTACTGTAAAACTAAGGTCTTTTTTGAAAATTACAAGAATTGGACGCCTTTCTGCAGAATGAAACCAACCAACACCCTGATGAAACTGAGAAAACAGGTACCTATCAAATATTTAAATAATTTTAAAATTATCTGTAAATTTTATGCCGATTTTGGACTTTGGAGGTTTAAGGGATATAATTTAATAATTTCTTCAGTTGGAATTTATGATATTATGTGTAAAAAATAGGCTTTTGTTGATTGGTCCCTTTCTGCAATTTATGGAAACTACAATCTGATTATAAGTCAAATGTATGTTTTTAAAGAAAAACGATAATTATTTATTTTTAAACAATAAACAAAATTTGATTAAAACTTAACTGAAATTACAATTAAAATAGTAATATCAGTTACTTTTGACTTTCTGCTTCTATTTGAAAGTCGGGAGTCCCTGTGAATCCGTCCACAATCTTCCAACCCCTCCTCACCTCGTAAGCTACTAAAAATTTTTTTACAATCCTGGGGTATCAGATGTATTACGGATTTTATATCTTGTAATTTAGGTATAGATATTTTTTCACCATTTGGCCACATCAGAAGCAAAAAATCTTTGAAGGATTTGGTAGTGGGTTGTTTTTGTATGTATATCTCAACATATGATGTATCTTAAAAACTTTTTTTTAAATATTGAAAATGGCTTGGTTTTATCAAGGCATATTTCACGCGCCTCTAACCAGCTCACCTTTTCTTTATTGATATCAAACTTTCGGTTACATATTAATATTTTCTCAATTTCTGCTGTGCCGTAAAAATCTGCAGGACTCAAGCGCGTAACTATAATCTTATTTTTTTTTGCGGCATTCCTTCAACTTTAATATAGTCTCTGTTGATGTTTTAGAGCACATTCGACATCTTAAAAGTCGTTTGGAAGAACAAAACACCACATTATGCTTGCTCCTATTTTGATTGTCAAAATTTGATATTTGATAAAATTTATTTAATCCATAGATGTTTATAATTTAATACTATTTTGCAGAAAAGATCCAACCCACTTGGATCATATATGTATATGTATATGTATATGTATATGTATATAAAGGGTGATTTTTTAAGGGTGTCCGAACTTCTGACAAGTGTCGCTGTCAAACAAACTCAATTTTCATGCATCTAGAAACTAAGTTACTCAGTATAGTCTGACAAATCATCATGGAACGTTTAACGCTTACAAATTGTCGAAATTTACCATCAAAACCATTGTTTTGTCCGCCAAACTTATCGTGCTCTTCGTGAATTTTATGGTATGCATACGCCCAATCGAGCGATGTATTCGCCGAATCATCAACAAATTTCGAAAGAACTTCACCCTGTTAGATATTAAAATAAAGACAAGAACAAAAACAGTGCGTTTCCAAGAAAATATCATCGCTGTTGCCGACAGTGATGAGAAACACCCAAATTTGTCAATTCGTCGACGTTCGCAGAAAGTTGGGCTTTGTTATTGAACTACGTGGGAAATTTTGTGGAAATATCTTTATTTTCTTTGGGGAAATGTTAAATCTTTGGTATATGTAAATAAACCAGCAACTATTCAAGACTTGGAAGCTAACATAACTCGGACAATTGCGTAAATAAATTGCTTGATAAAGTGGTCGGAAATTGGATTAATATAATTCGCTTTGTTACAAGTAGCCGCGGAGGACATTTGTCCGAAATTATTTTTAAACAATAATGTCATTAAATGTTATTTCATATAAAATAAATATTTTTAAGATATTTAATTTGGTTGTTATTTAATTTGAATTTAAAGTTCGGGCACTCTAAAAAAATCACCCTTTACTAGGGTGTTTCATTTAAAACGAAAATTTTTTTTTCTTGCTGACACATGAAAATTTTGTTTTTTAGGTTGAAAAAATAAATTCCCTGAAAATTTGAGCCCTTAATTTTGATTTTAAAAACTTCCTTTTTAATTTTGTAGTTTTTCCATATAAAAAGCATGTATTTTTAATCATTTTTACTTTAAATTTGTATATTTTGGCCGGGTTTTGAATTATAATTTTTATCACCATAATTTTCTGCATAGTATTCACGGTTTTTGAAAGGCGCTGCATCAATTTTGTTTTTGATTTATTTACGTTGATTGTAGTAGCTCCAAAAGTCGTTTTTTCACTCTTTTCACATATTTTTGAGAAAATCGAGCGAATGACTGGTTTTTCCAAAAAAGTTTAAATAAAAAAGTTGTAGAAAATTTAATTTTTGACAAAAAAGGTTTTTACGTTCATATCACTAAAGTGCTTTGTTTAAGAGATGTAAGCAATATATAGTTGTTGAATCAAATTACATAAATTTCAATAAAACCTATTTTTTCTTTGTTTTTGGTTATTGAATTGCTGTTTTAAATGAAACACCCTAGTATATACACAATATTATTGAATGTTGGTTGGTTCAATAATTAATAGATTTCACTACACTTGCATTTTGGCTATGACCTATTTTGCAGATAAATTTTACATACTTAATTAGTTCACAGGCTAAAGATCTCGATTTTTTTTAGTTTTGTGGGTTGGTTCCTTCCTGAAGAAAGGCGTCCAATTATGGTTGAATAATTGACATGGCATTTTGTCATTAAAGCCTTATTCAGAACCTCGTAATTAGTGGAAAAAATTAGTGGTTTCAATTATACTATACTATAATTAACACAAAACGATTATTCACAATGCGCAAAATTAACATCTAAAATAAAGGGAATTTGCTAAAAGATTGTCCATTTTTCTTAACCTGACATATACAATATTAATTATATTATAATAATTTTTTTTACAACCATTACAATAATATTTATATAACCTTACCTTCACTTCAAACTTTTTGCTTTTGACATAAAATATCCGCGCACATGCGCAAAGCCGCTTTCCAATTATAATTAGTGGTAAAAGTTAGAAGTTTGCAAAGTTTGTCCACACAGAAGAAACGCTAGCATAGCATGAATGGGTAAGCCATTAAACCAATGGGATCTTGTAATCCGTATTCCTGAATAACAGTTCCTATAATACCAATAGGTAGTTAGCACTTGGGTTATAATCGTTTACTGTTTTTAAATTAACAACAAAAGTTATCGCTCCTAAATCTATTGATATTTATTTGTTAGAATGGTAGAATGTTATTGCATTAAATACTAATTTGATTTATTTAATAACGTTACTATTGCATGTATACTATGTACACATTTAACGCAATAAATTCTTTGACATTTAGGCAAAATATTTCCCTATTTTGGTTTAATAGTAATTAATTGAGCAAATAAAAATTAAGATTGCTTCAATTTTAATGCATTCAATGACAGCGCTGTTCTTGGTACTATGTTAGATTTTTTTCTGTGCACTAATTGAAAAGTACTACCACTAATTTTTTGGTTGTGAACAACACTGTGTATATTTTTACGTTAATTGAAACCACTAATTTATTCCACTAATTACGAGGTTCTGAATGAAGCTTTAATCTACAAAATGTTTGTTATAATAACAAACTACTTATTCAATTAATTACAGTTATGTGGACCTAGATTAAAATGAAATCTGGTTAATATTTGGTTAAAATTAACAATAATTTTTTTATTTTGTATGTTTGTAGCCAATTCAATTTATTGTTTTTTTTCGTAAAAAATCTTGGTATGGATCTCAGAGAGCGTTTGTATTTGACGGTGAAAATTCATTGTGAATGGCCGAGGTGAAACGAGCGTCGGTTTGGTCCTTAGAACGATTGATCCAGTTCCGAGCCATTGAGTACATAAAGTCTGAGTTAAGCCTTGTCAAGGTACCCTTTTAAATCACGGCCGACTGCCGACTACCTACGAGAATAATGGTTTATTTAACTTTCACGGCCTTGTACTAACATCTTTTCTTTTTTATCGGGCGATTCCTATTTCCGGGTTTTATTCAACTGTTCAAACATGGCCGTTTCATACACTTATCAATCAAGGTGTTTGCTGAATACTGATTTTTCGGCGTATGAAGTAGACTATAAATTGCCTGTTAATATACAAGAATAGAAACGAAATTTTACGTTCGAGAAAACCTTGTTTGAAGAAAGTTGGAAGGTATCTACGCTTTAAGTGGAATCGAGATATTAAACGAAGCTCTAAAGACTTAATAATTTCGACTTCTAGATAAATTAACACGCGTGTTTCTCCTACGGAAAATTATATTATCCCGAACTCGGATGTTAACAAAAGCCCAAAATCAAATTATTAAACGGAATTTAAATCAGTGCAGCATATAAGGCGTTCCTTGCAAATTTACTCAGATTTCCTGTAAGCAAAACTAAATAAGGAAATAAGGATTTAAAAGGGTATGGCAAATTAAATATTTACGAAAAAAATTGTCAAATTAAAGAATAATTGAGAAGACAGTTTTCAAACATTTTTTGAACCTTTTTTAGCCCCAAATCAAAATCTCCACTGTTTTTATCGTTTTAGAGAAACATATTTAAGGTGTGCCTTAGTTGATGTTTTATAGTTTTTATTAAAAGAACTAAAATTAAAAAATGTTTATAGACATAAATTTTCTCAAAATATTTCATTTCATGGTCAAACTCTTTTAGTTTATTATTGTTTTTTGTTATTCTACAAATAGCAAGTGTCGATATATGGAAGTTTTTTATTTTATATTTCTTTGTTAGGATTTAACTATGGTTTCGCGTAAAAATCGAACAAATTTTGGACATTTGTTTGCAAGTGATGTCAATGATTTCAACAAACAAATTTTATCCATTGAATATATATATATATATATATATATATATATATTAGGGTGTTTAAAAAAAAAATTAAAATTATGTTTTTTAATTAATAGTACATTAAAAAACAAACATTTTGGCGCATATTTGAGCCCTTAATATTAAGGTTTTTTCCATTTCAATAACACGGGAATTTTTATTTTTTAAACTTTGAATTCTTATAATTTTGGAATGGTTTGTTTTCGCAACACCCAAGCGAGAGGAGTTATAGACAATATTATATATATATATATATATACAGTATGTCTCAGTATCTTGGAATCATATGGAAAACTTTTTTATTATTAATTTTAGGAAAAAAAGTTATTCTTCATAAAAAGTTCTGCATGGTGTAAAACTTAAAATGCAACCCACAAATATTATTTTTTTTTAGTCGTATACGGGGTGTCAAAAAATATGAATTTGGCTCAAGAGTAAAGTACCTTTATATTTGACAATATCGAAAATTGTTATAAAGAAAAGTTAATCAGAACTAAAAACTACGTTCAAATATGCAATTACATCCATTTACATTAAAAAAAAATATTTTTTCTTTTTTGTCTACAATATCAATGCAAATTTAACTGTAACATGTTATCTAGGATTCACTGATAAACAAATGATTTGTTGATATTCTAAAACTTTTTGGCCTGCTAGATCCCCTGACTTAACTTAAGGTTTTCATGTGTTTTCTAATCATAACAGATAAATGTTCATTTAAAATAGAAAGATTAGTAAAAATTAACAAAACCTAATTTTTTAATGTAAATGTATGAAATTGCATATTTAAACGTAGTTTTTAGTTCTGATTAACTTTTCTTTATAACAATTTTTGATATTGTCAAATATAAAGGTACTTTACTCTTGCGCCAAATTCATATTTTTTGACATACCTCGTATACGACTAAAAAAAATTAATATTTGTGGGTTGCATTTTAAGTTTTACACCATGCAGAACTTTTTATGAGGAATAACTTTTTTTCCTAAAATTAATAATAAAAAAGTTTTCCATATGATTCCAAGATACTGAGACATACTGTATATATAAATATATAAATATCCCATGGCTAACCATGATAAAATTGAAAAAGCAGCCACTAATAACTATTAAATTAGTTATTTTTGAATAATTCATTTTTAGAGAGAAGAATATAGTACGAGCATTGAAAAAAAATTTTTTTCAGCTTTTTCAAAATTAAATTGGTTGATTTGATGTGGATTAACCCTAAAACAACTTTTTAGACTTTAAAACTTAATTAAGCAGTACACATTTTATTACAACACAATTTTTTAAATATCTTCTCACAAAAATACATTTTTGAACTATAAAGCCAATGTTATAAATAGACTCGCATTTAAAACGATACAATTTGTAATATGTAAAAAAACTTGTGGCAAAAGACAAATTAACATTAGTTGTTTATTAAATCTCGTAAATGCCCCATCTTTTTTGTAAAACATAGATTTCTAAAGCAATGAAGGAGAATTGATGGTTCCGGGGCCATTAATAAGCATAACAATTAAACGGAGGGCATATTTATGCCACAAAGTTGTCGCACAAAGAAGTTCGGGAAACCGAATAAGTTTAGTCGAAGGCATTTCCAGCAACACACGTATTTACGTACGTGCTTTGTCTGAAGCGACCCCAGCCAACTTTGCAACAATGAGGGTCTTACAGACCGCTGCGCAGCTTCGCGATTATTGTCGCCGATTCCCTCTTGTAATTTAATGCAGATGCTGGTTAAGTTGTCTGCCTGCCTGCCTGCCTGCCTTCCAGTAGTGCTAACTTGACAAGTGTCGGCTTCAATAGTTTACATAACAAGAAAAAGCAGCACGCTGCTCAAGCTTCAGACAACATTTCACGATTCAAATAATTTCAAAATTAATTTCATACAACTCATCATATAATATTTTTTTTTTCAAACGTCAGTAAAATACGTTTTTTTTCAAACTTATTACACTTCGTAGAATTTATTGACCATTTTGATCGGGACCTCCATTCTCATTGGGAAACATTTCTGCTAATATGGGAAGAAGAGAGTTTTGAAAAAATTCGTGTGTCCTGTCATATTCTCGTCAAAGAAGAAAGGACCTATGATCCGATTTTCCACCATTCCTGCCCAGACATTCACTTTTTGCCGGTATTGAGAATACCCAATGAGGATTTTCTCTGCTCCAGTATCTACAATATTGACGATTGACCATTCAAACAGAAGGTAGCTTCATCCAAAAAAAAGTATTTTACGAGCTAAGTGTGGATTATTGTTACATAAATTCATGATAATTTCACAAAATTGTAGTCTACAGTCCGGATCATCTTCGTTCAGTTGCTGCACTAGTCTAATTTTGTATGGATGGTACTTTTCTTTCTTCATAAGACTTAATACTTGGCTGATTTAACTTTCAGTTGCGACTAGGCTAGAAGCACAGTAAGGATCTTCTTCCACACGTAACCAAATGTAAATTTAAGTATCTTCACTAATACTCGGACGGCCAGGTTTTGGAATATCTTTGACATGTCAAGTCTCTCGGAACTTTCCTTCTATTTTTAATAATAATAATAATAATAAGTTTATTGTGAAAAAAGTACATTTCACAATTGCAAAGACACCTATACAATTCCTCAGCATAGCTCTACCAAGTACAAAGGATGCTTTGAATATACTGCGCCTACTATTTTAAACGAATTGTTCAGTTTGGCGAGGTGTAGGTTCAATTTTTTCTTATATTCTTATGAATATTACCAGTGATGGGTCAAGAAAGTTTCTTAAAGAAACTAAGAAAATTGAATGTTCAGTTTTTTAAGCTTATCAGAACCTAATTTTAAAAAAGCTTGTAAAATGTATGTAAGAAATGTGCAGCTGGATATATAAAATTCAATACTTATATTATTTAAACCATTTTGTCTTTCTTGCATTTGAAATTTTAGTTTTTTCCTTTTTTGTTTTGGTTGAAATCGTATTATTAATGGTAAATCTGTAGCATAATGTTTAGGAAATATTTAAGTTTTGTTATTTGTATTGATTTAATTGTATTGTATATATGCGTCCCATGGGAGAGTGGAAGATCAGCATAGCTGAACTCTTTCCAATTGTGAAATGTACTTTTTTCACAATAAACTTATTATTATTATTATTATTATTATTATTATTATTATAATTTTAGTAACTGTAGCACAAATAATTATTAATTATAGTAATTATAATAGGTCGTACTGGAATTTAATTAATTGTAAACTTCTTGTTGTGTTCTAGTTTTATTGCCACATCCTATGAGAACTAAAACTTCAATTCTCTGTGTTTTTGTTAAATTGCCCATATTTAAATACTTCGAAATATTTGGAGAACGCTTAAGAGACTGAAAAAAAAGATTTCTTATATTTAGAAAACCTATCATCTTGAAAATATTTTTTTAATTCAAGTCAACTTGCTTTAAAATAAGAATATATATTAGGGTGGCCCAAAAAAAAAGAATATTTTTTTCTTCTCGTCTCTTGTGAAAATATGTTGGTTTGTCATGTTTTAAGAGCCCTGTCAAAATATCAGCTCGATTAAAAATTTTGTAGGGGTCGCTCAAGATTTTTAAAAATTTTCAAAATCGTCAAAAATTGAATTTTTGTTTTATTTTAATTCTTTTTCTCGTCTCGTTAATATTATTTATTAGGTTGAAAATAATAAAAATTCTGTAAATTTCAAATCAATATTTTGATTTCTAAATGTCGCTAAAAGTTCGTTGATATTTATATTCAGAGGTCGCTCGAAAACATTCAAAATACTCTACTTTGAAAGTTAAAAAAATCTTGAGCAACCTTTAGAAATTAAAATATCGTTTTGAAATTTTCAGAATCATTATTATTTTTAAATTAAAAAATAATATCGGAACGAGAAAAAAAATTAAAATAAAAAAAAATCCAATTTTTGACGATTTTGGTAATTTTAAAAAATCTTGAGCGACTCCTAAAAAATTTTTAATGGTGCTGATCTTTTGACAGGGCTCTTAAAACATGACAAACCAACATATTTTCACAAGAGACGAGAAGAAAAAAAATATTCTATTTTTTTGGGCCACCCTAATATATATATAGATATAATATATATATATTATATATATATATATATATATTTCAACTAAAAATATTTAACTTCTTTAAAAAAGAATTTTGTAGTTTTGGAAATATTCTAATATTAAGAAACATTTCTTGTTTTAAAAAACTGCATGTTTCAATCCAAATATTAAATATTCTTATAAATCTTAGTTGGTTTCTTGGTACAATTGTTAATATTTTTTTATATCAAGAATAAGATATTCTTATTTTTTTATTTGTTTAATTTTTTTTATTCGTTTTAATATATATATATTATATATATTTTTGAAATCGTGTAGGAGTGGAGATGCCGACACGTTCCTCTGAAATTTTATGCCTAATCATGCAGTGTTTCTTTCTCTTTGTGAGGGCGTATTTCATTAAAAAATTATTAGAAGAGTGGTCAGCATCGAAGGAAATTATAAACAAAATTGAAGGTAAGTAAGTTGTTATTGATACCACCCTTTTCTTTATATTTAGCGTTACATTTACGTGTAGGTAGGTAGGTTAATTGTTTAAATATTTTGTAATATGCATTAAGGATGCCTTAAAATAATTTTATACATAAATAAATAGGCTTTGCAGTGATAACCAAAATATCTTATGTGTTTAACGCTCTGATTTGTATGGCTCTATAATTTTAAGTTAATAAACTTAATTTATTTTATGACATTTAAAAAGATTTTGTTTTAAAAGTAATTTTGTTACACACTTTGGGGTATAACATTAATTTTGATTCATATAGGGTGGAGTTCATTGGCAATAGCCCTAAATTATTTTATAAAATTGGTAATTGCTTTTCTAATAAAATATTACAAATTATTTAAAATGAAAAATATGTCGATAATAAAGTTCCCTACGTTAATTTATAAAAATGTAAACATTTTAGATTTTTCTTGTATTAAAAACAAAATAAATGTGTTTGTTCAACGTTTGTTTTTTTATTATCTAACCTAAATTTTTTTGCTTACTGCACCACCTAGAAACGATACTTTGGCCCTTCAGTAAGTTTGGCTCAATTTTGAATAATCCTGAAAAAAATACAGGATATTTAAAATTACTTCAAGTGTTTAGACGTATTTTTATTTTAAATTTTATTTCTTTTGCAGTAACATTTCTAAATATAAAGATGTTTTTATTATTAAAATATATAATTTTTAGTTAATGGACGTATCCTTAATTAAAATTTTATTAATTTTTAATACAAAATTATAGATTTTATTAAACATTGCTAAAACTAACTTAAAATTAAGATAGATACATATTATTTTAAACGATACTTCTTGCATTGTTTTAAAATAAATATTATTTTGTAGTCAATGAAATAAAATTTTAAATCTTGTATCTATTAATTTAAAAAAATATTGGGTCATAGAAAACATCTTGATTTAAGAAAATTATTGCCTTATTTCAATATCACATGTTTTTGTTTTAAGAAAATTTATTCTTGAATTAAGTAAGTATCTTTTTTGTTTAATAATACCACTAATTTATTTTTAAAAGAACATATCTCTCAACGCTCAACTAAAAGTTTTTATATCCAGTGGTGAATATTTGTTTTAAATAAACTCCAAAGAAAATAATAACAAAATTCACCATGTTTCTGTGGTAACATTCACAACCACTTATTTTAATCTGTGACCAGATAACTTAAAATTAATTTTTTAAAGGAATTCGACCTTAAAAAATAGTATATTTAATGTCTACAGACACTTTTCCTTTTTATAAAATAATGTACTGTTTTAGAACGTAAAAGTCAAATTTTTAATACGAATACGACAAAACAAACTTTTGGGAATTATGTTTTAATACGCAAAAAGCGGTGGGGATTCCTTTTTAGTTATTACATGAGGAATATTTTCTCACAAAGAAACGCGTACAAAAGTTCAATTCCCTTCTTGTTTGAAACGAATGACTCCTTTAACCGACACCCCAGAAGTTCTCTTGCGTTTATTTAAAAGTATGGGAAAGCTTTGCAATCGCTGCAGCGCACTGTATCCTAAAACACGATTTTAGCTAAAATCTTGTACAGTATTTTGTTGCGAATGAAAAAATAAACAATTTTAAAAACAAAACTTGAATTTATTTAGTGGTTTGACATTTCGGGCTTGAGTAATAATTTAATTTATAAAATACAAAGTGTGTATAAATATAAAAAAAAAATTTATGCCAAATTTAATGTCCTAACTTATTTCCTTCTATTGCCTGTAACAACGAGAAGTTTTCCAGATAGAGGATTTTTGCCTTTAATGTATTAATTTTTTAAAATTACTATTAATCTATAAAAAAGTATAATTTTTTGAGAAAAATCTTGTATTTTTATCCTAAGGTCTTTTTTACTTCGCTTAATTATTACTATTATTGTTATTTTATTGAAAATGGCATAAAAAACAAAATATCAGTGATAATTTGTATTTAATTCATAATTAGTGTGCTTTGAAGCGTAATTTTGTACTTTTCTAATGTTGGTGCTACCTAAATATCTTTTAGGCAATCTTAAATTATTTGTTTTATAAAACAAATAGTTTAAGATTTTTTTATATATTTTTTTAAAACAAATGAGGGGGCGGCACGATTAAAATTTTGACATCGGTCAAATAAGAACCACCCTACTATTCCTCCATAATTCTTGTAATTTGAGGACCTTATTTTTAGAAACCTTTTTGTAGAAACATTAATAAAAGTAATGTTGAAAATTGGGAACTTAAATAAAAAGAAGAAATGTTGCTTTATTAATCAATTTCCTTAACAAAAAAATTAACACATACCTACATAAATAAAATCATCAAATTATAAAGAAATTTGGTACAATATAATTAACATGATAATTATATTGTACCAAATTTCTTTATAACTGCAGTACTACTACAACACTTACTGATGTATTTCGTAACTTTAACCCACTTCACTGTATCCCCTAATTTCAGTTTGAAAACTAGTGACTTTTTTTTGGATACTTAGCACTTTGCACTAGTTAAATAGGTATAAGGAATTCGAATAACAATAATAACAGATTTATGGTAATATGTATATTATAAACACTGGACAGTTGTTACGAACACTTTACGAATTAGAATAACGTAAGCAGAAACATAAGTTGCAGACGCTGAAGTCAGTTGAACTTGTTGATGCGTATTGTCAGTGGGAAATGTTTTGATTGACTGCCTGAAATCACGTGTTCTTTTTCAACGAAATAATTTCTTAAACATTAACAAAATAATCTGTAACCTTTGAAATTAACAAAATGCTTACAAAATTGAATATTACCTTTCGGTAAAATATTTTCCTTTT